GACAGCTGTGAGGTCACCACACAATACATTTCCTTTTTGGAGCTGCTACACTGTAGTTACAGACATGAAGATACTAAGTTTCTTCCTTTAGCCCCTTTCTGTAAGCCAAATCTGATTTTTCCAGAAAACATGGCCGCCCATCACCTTCAAGGTTGTTGACTGTTCTTCACGCTTTATGTCTCTTGAGTGGAACCAGTGCTGCTTTGAGATACTGGTTTTGCTGCACTCCTACCTCCCCGGGGAATGCCTGGAAGAATCTTGGGGATACAGGGGCTAGTAGCACCTAGTGTGGTTACGGGTCAGACTGTTCAGTGCTTAGGACAGCTTTCCACAGCAAATGGGACATGGGACGCCTCCCGGAAGTGTCCTCTTCACGTCTGATGAGGCATCACTCCTGCCCTCTGCTCAACTTCCTTTCCCGTCTCCTCTGCTCATCCTTGCCTTTCCCTGTCCTCTGTTCCCCCAGGAGAGCTGAAGAGCAGTTCTTCCATTTCCCTCCTGTTCCCCAGACCTCATTCTGTCACTTAAACACCGTTCATACACAGTGACTCCTCGGTGCCCCTGGTCTGCTCTCTAGATAACTGTGTCCAATGTCTCACACCACATCTCCTCTGTGTGTGCGGTAAGCATCACATTTAAATGACGCCCAGTGTCTAGTCACTTCCTCCTGCCTGCCATCACCAAACTGCTTCTCCTGTGGTCCTGCCCTGCACTTCAAATGCACCACTCTGTCCTTAGGTTGGGAGGCCTGGAAACATTCTGCATGCACACACCGCATCCAAGCCACAGGAACGGCCACCAGCTTTCCCTTAACGCACCCACTGCTCTCTAAGTCCACTGCTGCTGTCCAGGTCTGAAATACCAAGGCTTCCCAACTAAAAGGTTTGTCATTGTCTTCTAACCACCCGGCTTCTGCCTTCCCCACTTCCCCCAGGAGAGAGCCTCTCAAAATGTCCCGTCATTCCGCTCAGTACCCTCCGGTGGCCTCCCATCTGACTCAGAACAAAGCCAGCATGCAATGCTTCATTCCCGTTACCATGTATGACCATCATGGTCTGATCCATGCTCTCTTTCTGGTCAGCACCTTCTGTCCCCTGTCCAGCCATGGTGACCCTGGCAGGTGTTCCTCAGACTCAGGCAGTCTTATCTTGGAGCTCTTACAGTCACTGGTCCTGTCTGACGTGCCCTTCTCAAAGATGCAAGCCTTCATGATTCACTCTGATTTCTCCAAGTTTCCGCTCTACTCTAGCGTCAGCTCCATCCTATTAGTGAGCTCGCCACCTGCCCTGTATAAAACAGCAGCACCCTACCCTGCACAGCTTCATCACTGTCTGCCATGTATAATATAACTCCTGGAGACTTTGAGCTCCCTGAGGGCAGGAACTTGACTTAGTAACTGTACTATTCCCATAAGGGGCAGATATATTGGCTCAAAGTAGAGACAATAGCTTATCAAATGAATAACAACAAAAACCTGTAGAATTTTCCGTTTGGCTCTACTTAGTATGTTTTCATGACTTAACCATATACCACTTGGGAAAATGTCTTAACCTTCTATCAAACTTGCTGGATAAATTCTGTGCACCCAAGGGACCAACCTTGAATTTTCCAATTACCTCAGACATTAGGGAGTCTTGGGCCATGAAGGCTCTCGGATTACATCATCTTTCCCAGGTGTCTCTGAGGCAGCACAGAACGTTGCAGCAAAGCTCACGAGCCTCCCTTGGCGAGGCTGCAACAACCGGACTACCTTCTGTGGTGAAGCTGCATCACTAGAGGAAATTTTGATCCCAGGGGCCCATCTAGGCCCTGGCCAATACCTAGGTCACTCAGCAGTATTGCTGGCAACAATTCTGTTAACAATATTGAAAGCTCCAGGGGTGGCAGGAGGGCGGCTCTTCCTTGGGTTGGCTTGTACACTAGGGTCTTAGCTCGATGGAATCCAACTACTCAGACAACCATGGACAGTCAGAGTGGTCTGAAAAAGCCCAAACTCCTTGGCAAGGAGAGAGGAAGTGGAGGCTCTAGGGACTGCCCTACGGTACAGTGTGCTTCAGAGCTTTGAGCTATGCTGAAACATCAAGACGCAGCTCTATGATATCAGTGATGCAGCTGCTGTTAGAGCTGAGGGCAAAGGCCGTCCTCTGGGATACTGTCATCTTGGAAAATAAACACCCCTATATGCGCCAGCCCACCATCCTCTAACCTCCCTGCAGCCACTGTTCAACATGACACCAGGGGATGTGTCCCTGCGTCAGGAGTGGCTGAAGAGTATATCAAATTAGATCAGAGGAAGAGGGGTCCCACTGTGAGCCAGTTCCTACATACTGAGAAGACATTCGTCACTTCCTCAAAGTCTCACAGGCCAGTTTCTCTGATGATCCCTTCCTGCTACAAGGTCCTCTACCACAGCTCTTGACACCAGGTGACAAGACCTTCTTAGCCTCAGGGAAGTAGGCTTCTCTTTGACTTTGCTTCCTTTTACAAATGGAGTACTTAGTAAAGCCTTGCATAGTAGGTGCTTGGTATGTATTTCAATTAATGTACAAGTAATTGTGAAACAGAAGTATTTCCCATCTGTCTCAGTTGGACTTTCTATTGCTGTGAAGAGACACCATGACCATGGCAACTCTCATAAAACAAACATTTCATTGGGGTGGCTTACCGTTTCAGAGCTTCAGCCCATTATCATGGTGGGGCACAGTGGCATCCAGGCCAATGTGGTGCTGGAGAAGTAGCTGAGAGTCCTATAGCTTACAAACTGAAGAGTGATCTCCGTGTTACACTGAGCGAAGCTTGAGCGAAGGAACCCCAATGCCTGTCCCCTCATGACACACTTCCTTTGATAAGGCCACACCTCCCACAGTGCCACTCATGAACTTACAGGGGTGGGGGCAATTACATTCAAACTGCCTCAGCATCCTTTCTTTCTTACACATCTCCATCTATACTCCCATGATTACCCTCTTGGTGTAGGAGAATCTGGCTACACCTTGGAGCCATTTCTCTGTACCGGATACTCAGGAGGAAATACCATTGTGTCTAAGGGGCCACAATAAAGCATTAGAGGAAGAGATGGTGGTATATGCCTATACTCCTGGCACTTGGGAAACAGAGGCAGCCTGGGTTGCAGGGTGTACAGCAAGACCCTGAAAAAAAAAAACTAACACATATGATCGCTAAAGAAAGAAGTCACACCCCATAAAGGTAGCATTCTGCCTATTGCTGTTCCCAATTGCATATCAAGAGGAGTCTTGGAGTTTGACAGGGCCTAGAATGTCACTCTGCTGTGGTGTGTTGCATGCTCTTTTTGATCGACATTTAAGAGAAAAGTCAAACATAAACCTCCATGAAGGAAACACCTTGTAATTGTGATGTTTGAGAACACTGTGCGTTGGTGACAACTGTTGAGACTGTTTGGCCAGCTACCACTGGGGAAGGGCAGGGCAGGTACTGAATCCGAGGCCATGGACGAGCGCTGCTTCCTCGCTTGCTCTCCAGGGCTTGCTGAACTTGCTTCTTCTAGAACCCAGGACCGCAAACTCAGGCGGCGGCACCCGCAGAAACCATTAGTCAAGGAAAGAGGCCCCACAGGCCAATCTGATGGAAGCGTTTTCCAAGATGGCCCTGGTTTCTATCAAGCTGGCAAAGTAAGCAGCGCACAGCTTCAAGCCCTAGAAAGATACAGGAAGACAAAGAAAGCCGATCTGCAAGCACAAAGAAGTTAACAGGCAATCTGAATTCTTAGGCATATAATCCATATTCAAGTGTTCTCATCAGTAAAAATGGAATTAGGGCTAATTAGGAACAATGTACCACGGAGTCCACAACTGTGAGGGGCGGGACGGAAATGCAATATGCCTGCCATTGGGAGGGAACAACCATGGGATTGTTGAATCCTTTCCGCCCAGGTTCCGTGGCTGCGCCCATGTTCTGTATGCTAGCGCTTTTAGCTCCGTCCCGGAGCGCTGCCAAGGGTTCAGTATGGCACTTCAGGATGTGGAAAGGGTTTTTACCTCCGACTGTTCACGGCCAGCTCCGAAGTGGGCCGGCATATATGAAAAGAAAACTGGAAGTTCCTGCACAGGCTTGGTGAGCCTGGCAGGGCTTAGCATGGCCCCTCAGCTGGCCACTACAATGTGAGGTGATGCCCTTGATTAGGGTGCAAAGGCACCATCTTACCAAGAAATTGGTTAGTGAACCACTCATGGTGACTAATTAAAGAATCTAGCACTCAGATGGCTGAGGCAGGAGGATTACAAGTTGAAGATCAGCCTGGGTTAAAAGAGACCTTATCTAAAAAAAAATATGAAACAATAATAGCTTGATTCATATAAACTAAAATGAACATACAGACTGAGGCACAGCCCAGTGATAACAGTGCTTGCCTAGTATGCTTGAAGCCTGGACTTGACTGTCAGTGCCCAAAATATAAACATTTAAAAACAAACAAAATGGGCTGAGAAAGTAGCCTAGCAATAAGAGTTCTCAGTAGCTAGGACCCCTAGATTCAGCCCCCCCAGACCACAGAACAACAAAGTAAATGAACCTAAAGCTGAAGTGGACACCAGAAGGCCACTTACAGAGTTAACTAGGATTTAAGAACACCATTGGCGAACCCCGTTCCATCAGGTGGTTCCACATTTCCTGCACCCACAGACATCACTAGCATCTCATTTTGGTAGGAACACTTACCTACCTCAGGCAATTCGGAAGCTTTGCTGGCTTGCCATCAGAACAGGAGAAATGAAGGGAAGTCTCTAAGATACCAGGAAAAGTCTACTTAGAGGCATTTGCTGATGGGCTTTGAATATAGCTTAGAATCTCTGTATTCTCCAAATAAAGACTCGGAAGTTTGAAGGCTAGGACTCTGTCTCAGCGGTGCTTGAAGTGGGCATTCAGTGTCCACCCCACTACTACTCAGTAATGTGGCTCCCACCTACAGCAGGCAGTCTCTGGATGCTCTGAGAAAAGATGGCTTGGGGACACAGCATTACCTCTGTGACATTGTTGAACACATTTATTAGATGATACCCATGATCATACAATGTGGTAGAATGGTATAAACCAAATAATACAATAGTAAATGCTAGCGGTAACATAAGTTGATATCAACATTAAATAATACAAATACTACATGATAGAAATCCTGATACCAACGGGAACAAATACTAAATGATTCAGCGATGGCCCTGGGTGACAGTCACACTGATGTTGATAGACTCCTAAATGAAACAATGACGCACAGGCTAAATGACAGAGGCTAGATGATACATGATAAATACTCAGCATCTGTTTATGTGCAAAATATCCTGACCCCAAGCCCGAGGAGATGACTGGCTGCAGGCTCTTCCCTCTTTCCTGCTCACAGAGAGGCTTATGAGGAGAAGCCTGCCAGCAAGAAGACAGCACAGAGCCTACATAGAGAAGGTAATGAAGATCAGGTCTCCTATCAGCTGAGATGGCAACACAGGGCTCTGGGGCTGTTTGACAGACAGGGTCTCACCATGTAATTAAGGCTGCCAAAGAACCTCAGACTCAAGAGCTGCTTGCCTTTGCCTCCAAAGTGCTGGGATTATAAGCACTTGTCACCAGGCCTGTGATGACCTGTTGAGCTTTACCAACGCGTTCGTACAGTTCTTCCAGACTTATCTTCCCAGACCAGCTAACGCCAAAGCTTTCATGGGTTTGGTTTGGTTTTTTTAGAGACTTGGTCTCACTCTGTAGCCCAGGTAGGCCTGGAATTTACCCTGTAGCATAAGCTGGCCTCGAACTCACAATCCTGCCACAGCCTCTTGAGTGCTGGAAATATTGACTAGGATTGGCTTCCACAGCACTTCTGTGCTTTGAGAGTCTCTAACTCAGGCTGGCCTGGAACTCTCCATCCGCTTGCTTCACAAGGGCTGGGATTATAGGCATATGCCAACATGCTAGGCTCAAATCTGAAATAACCAACTGGTTTCTATAGCACACGTTAAACAAGCAGAGTGATAAACATGATGGACTAACCAGCTTAACATGGTGGCCTCCCCCTCGATCTCTGGCATAGGAATATGCCTCAGTTTAGGTAAAATGAGATCTAAGGCTCCAGGACCATGAAAAAGCTCCACCCAGAGCCTAGTGCATAGCAGCACCAGCAGAGGGAGCTAGATGCCAAAGAGGATCTTGAGGTCAGCCAGTGTGAGCTTGGTGACAGATGCTCCAGATCCCGATAGGACTTGTTTGGCCAAATCTTTCTTTTTTTCTTGGAGCTGTAAGATCTTCTCTTCCACTGTGTCCTCACAGACGAACCTAAGAACAGATGATAACAGACCTGAGTCCAAGCGGCGAACCCACGCACACATTCGGAGTTCTCTCTCCTTTAGCTGTAAAGGAGATGATTTCCTGGCACTTGGTGAGAGCCGAGAATCCAAGCACCTTCAAGTGTGTCCATTTAAAGCGATGCGCCTCAGACTAACTTTCTGAAGTGAGGGTCTCTGCATTTCTATCTAAAATGTAGAGGCCTGGTTTCACTCAAACACTATTTTGACAAGGTCAGACGGGCCTCAAAGGTCAAGATCCTGACAAGTGTGTGTGTGTGTGTGTTTAAGTGCAGTGTCTAATTTCTTAGCTAGTCCATACCATAGCCAGGCCTCATTCAAGTGCCCACTAAGTATGAATTTATATATACATACACCATGTCCTATGAGAAGTGACAAAAAAGGGTGTAGGTTTTTTTTCCTTTGTAGGAGAAAACAAAGATATGAACATCCAATAATAATAATAAAAATAATAAGACAGAGGAAGTGGTACAGTGGCGATGTGTCCAGGGTACGAAAGGCAATCTGTGTAGGTCAGTCAAGAAAAGCTCCATTGGAGTTAACTCTTAATGTGTGGCATGCAGGATGACCAGGGGTTTGCTAGATGACATGGTGGCATAGGCACAGCATCCCAGGGAATGAGAACAGGGGCAAACTGTGGCTGAGCTTCAGAACACGGTATGTTTAGTTAAAGAGCATACTCTCCAGGCAAGTCTGCTGGTAGCAAAAGTTCAAGAGCTCTAGGCCAGGTCCTCAATTATCCCCATCACACCAAGACACTGAGAGTAAACGTACAGGAAGCGAGCCATTGAAGGTGTGCCGTGTCTCAACAGACATCAGTTAAAAGAGCCCTCTGCTGGCAATGCAGAGGACAGGAACCAGCGAGCTGCATAGGGAGCGGGTGGTGAGGGTGGGAAAGAAAGGATGGTTAGCAGTTTAGAAAATATAACTGAAGGCCTGGGCATGGGAAGAGGGACAGGAAGGAGTTTAGTTTCTGGCTGTACGGCTAGATAAACAAGCACCATCCATGCAGATAATGCAAATGTCTGTCCTGAGGCAGCAGGACGCAAACATTTCAGACTGGCATTTTTATCCTGGAGGGTGTAATTATACTTGTAGCATTCACTTTGGTGTCTGAACGCACAGGATGAATGCAGACAGATGAGTGCCTGCCTGCTTAGGTTCAGATGGCTCGAGGGATCTGGATACCCAGGTTGGAAGTTTGGAAGACAGTGGAACTAAAAATACAGATTTTAGACTTAGTGGAGGAAAATATGGAATGAGAATAAGACAGGAAAATTAATATTCACTGCATGTGGCAAATTTTGGAGGTCACTAGTGACCCTCAACAGGGACAACTCATATGAAATGGGTGAAAGGCACCTCATATAAGACTGAGGAAGGGTGGAGGCAGGCAGCACTGACTGTGACCTCTGAACTCTTCACTAGACCCCTCATGCAAAGAAACCAAAAGAAGGGCCATGAGAGTGGACTGCAGCAGTGGGGCGCGCTCTGATGTTCCCAAAGCCATGTGGGCCCCAAAGAGGAGCGCTCTGCAAACAGGCTGTGTGTGCCTTCAAAGGCAATGTCAAAATCAGAGAGGGGAGCATTGTGCCTGATTAAAGCATACAAAGTCACGATAACCAAATGCTACACAGGATGTGGGAAGGACAGCATTGGGAGAGATGAAACCGAATATGGATTGATCAGGCTTTAGTATTACACTGACGTTAACATTCTAATGTTGACCACCCCCCCCCTCTCTCTCTCTCTCTCTCTCTCTCACACACACACACACACACACACACACAAGCTTTCTGTATGACTGAGACTATGCCACACTGAAAGGTAAAAATGACAAGGGGCAGGGGTGGGCAGGAGCAATCCCTCCACAGCTGCCTCCTTGGTGAGCTGTGGCTTGTCACCATACTTGCTTCCTTTTTGGGCCTGACCAACAAGATTACCTCAGATTGCTTCTTCCCTTCCTGACCAGTGTCCCTGAGGTGTGCCCGCAGAACATCATTAGTGCAGGGGTTGCCATACTTCCTAGTCTATGAAAATACTCCCCAGAGAAGGCTTTCACAAAGGAAGACGCTGAGAAGGGCCTGGTGCCTCTGCTTACCTGTGTATGACGACATCTTTCTCCTGTCCTACTCTGTAGATTCGGTCACATGCTTGGTCTTCAAGTGAGGGGTTCCTGTTAGAGAGGTGTAACTCAGAAACACCAATATTGCACACAGGGCTGACAAACTACCGCCAAGGCCAAATCACAGTCCATTTCTGTACGCTTCTTTAGCTAACAATAGTCATTACGTTTTCAAAGGGGATTAAGAAGACAACATGAATATGCAATAGAACTGAGAGGTGGGGGTGCACACCTTTAACCGCAGCACTAAGGAGACAGAGGCAGGAAAATCTCTGAGTTTGGGGCCAGCCTGCTCTACAGAGCAAGTTCCAGAACAGCCAGGGCTACAAAGAGAAACCCGTCTCAAAAAACAACAAATATGCAACAGAAAACTATGTGCCTCGAGAAGCTGAAATGCTTACAGAAGTCTGTCAACGCCATTCTAGAAGGAACTGACCTAAAAGTTACCCTCTGCTGAGGAACTGGGAACAGGCTTCCAATGTTCTTAGCACTGACATGGGTCAGTCCCTGTAAGAGACGGATGTGAACAGGACTCCTATCCAGTCTTTACCAGCTGATGACCACAGACAGAGCTAACAACACCCTCAACACTTCAGAACCTACTTGGAAACAAGAGCGGGTTAATATTCCCAAATATTTCTTTCAACTTTAGTGTTCAGTGACATCAACTAAAGAGGGAGAACTTGTTCTCCGCCTTATAGATTCTCATTATCAACTCTAACTGGACCTCATCCTTCCTCTTTAGAATCTGAGTACTGTCTCTCCATCTCAAAACTGGTGTCATTCCTAGCATGTTTTTCTCACTTCTGTGTATGTGAAAAGCCCAAGTAAACCTACATACATTCTCCACAGAACAGCATCGCTTGAGGCTGAGTGGAGAATTAGACATATCCCAGAAACAGCAGCGCCTGGAAGAAAGTATGAAGGTGTAGGCCTGAAATCGGAGCTACACTAAGGCAGAAGAGCATAAATACCAGGCCTGCCTGGACTACAGACCAAGTTCAAGGCAAGTTTGCACAACTAGTGAAACCCCACTCTATCTCAAAGTGAAAAGTGAGCTGGGATCAGTATGTGCAAGGCCCCGGGCTCAGTTCCCAGCACTACAGAACAAAAACAAAGCCCGCCACAGCAACCTGGTCTGCATAAGTAGAAAGTCAAAAACTGGCAATGTGAGTCCACTTAGCAACACATGATTTCGTTTGTCTTGTGCCAAGCAGAGCACGCACCAAGGCGCTGGCACCACACACAGTGAAGCCCAAGGCTGGACATAAGTATTTCTATCAGTTAGAAAACCCCTCTTCTTCTTTCTGGTGTAACAAAAGTTGAGACTTCCTTGGCTCCTCAACTATGTCTGGAAAATAATATTCTAGGGACATCAAACTGAGCAATGTAGCTCTTAGTCATGAGAAAAACCTGTGCTCCTCTCTTGTTTTGTAAATCAAGGTTTCTCTGTGTAGCCCTGGCTGTCCTGGAACTGAAACTTGTTCTGTAGACCAGGATGGCCTTGAACTCACAGAGATCCACCAGTCTCTGCCTCCCCAAGTGCTGGAACTAATGGCATGTGCCACCATATCCGGTTTCTTATTTTTTCCTGTGTTCCTCATTTTTATGGGAAAAAAAGATGTTAGATTTTATAAGAAGTTAGTGAACAATAAAATTCATGAACTACTTGGAAGTAGTTATGAAATGCCCCAGCAGGCCTTACAGGTCACTTAGACGGCTATATAGAATGTGTCTACGACTCCCTAAAAGGACACATAACCTATGAGGTCAGACAGCATAGCAGGAAGAGCAACTCAAGGAAAACCCTGGTTACCAGTGCATGTCCAAGAGGAAGAGGTGGTTCCCTCCGGTCAGATTGAGTCCCACACCGCCAGCCAAGAGGGAGATTAGCATGACCTGCAGAAGGAAACACTCTATCAACTTCCACACACTTGGTCTTATAATCATCTGCCATCGGCTGGGTCTTCAGTGCTCCAAAAGCCAGGTGCCAAAGGCTTGGTCCCCATAATGGTGCTAGACCAGAGGCGGTGGAATTTTATGGGATTGGTACTACTCATCTTCAGGACATTGGGAACTTTCTTTGGAGGTTGACCAACCATGCACTATGAAACCTCCAAAAACACAAACCAAAAGCAGCCCCTTCCCTCTACGCCAGGTATTTGTAGGGACTGAAAGAGCTAACTAGCGTCTTTCCATCTCTAGCTCAAGAAGATCAAAACACAAGAAACACGTTCTTTTCAATTCCCCCTGTGTGATGTTTTCAAACATTAAGATGCCATTTCTTTCCTTTTTTTTTTGGTCTTTTTGAGACAGAAAGAGTTTCTCTGTAGCTTTGGAGCCTGTCCTGGAAGTAGCCCCTGCAGACCAAGCTGTCCTTGAACTCACAAAGATCTGCTGGCCTCTGCCTCCCCAGTGCTGGGATTAAAGGCGTGCGCTAAGATGCTATTTCTTACATTCATCTTTGAAAAAATGCTCACATTCCCACAGAGAGTCGACCTCACAAAGCAGTCTGCCAAAAAACATGGACACTATAATTCAGTTCCTTGGGGGGGGGGGGTCAACTTTGCATTAACCAAACTGTGACTAGTCTTAAGACCATGCCCCCCCACACACACTAAGTCACCCTTCCTTCCTTCCTCTCGACTAGTGCTTCTTGAATACCTGTTACACAGCCCTGTTCTGCATCTCAATCAAAAGCCCACAGACCCGCCAAGGCTTCCTCCTCTACAGAGATTCCCCTGATCACAACCAGGCCTGCTGACTCTTCAGTTTAGTCCTCGTAGGTTATTCCTTTTAGAGTACTCTAGTGAGGACCCCAGTAAATGTCTAATAAATGATAAACATCTGGAAGGATCAAGACAATATTTTTGAAGTTGAGTTGCTACATTACGCTGCTTTATAACCGAGACCAACTGTACGGGCCTGTGGGGCCTAGTTCATACCTGAGGCTCCTGGGAGTGGTTGAATGCCTCCACCAGGTCCATTCTCTGTTTGGGGTTGACGGAGCCGTCAATAGTGGCGTAAGTCAGTCTGTGCTTCTTGAGGTGCAGAGCTACCACTTGCAGCATGCTGGTCCACTGAGAGACAATAACACTAGGGGAAGAAAACACAAGCCACCAAGACTATGCAGTCTCCTCTGCAGGCTGTAACACCACTAGTCTCAAGGTTAGTTCCAAAAGGCACACGAGGAGAATCCCTGTTGTTAACGGGCAAGGTCATGCTGGGCTTGTTTCCCAAAGACCTGCGTGTAAAGGCTTGGTCCCGGGTGGCAGTGCTGGGGTACTGGGAATGGTTACGAGGTGGAGCCTAGGGAGGCAGTCCTCTAAGCGGACTGCAGAACTCACCTCTTCCTCCCTGCTTCCTGATTGACATGCGACTACTTGTTCTGACGTGTGCCCCTGGTAATGCCATTTGCTCCGTCACCAACAGCATAAGCCAACGGGAGCATCTACTAGTAACTAAAGCTTCCAGAGCCATACAATCTGTCCGCTTTCTAAGTGTCTCCTGTGAGACCTTTCATGGTAGTGGCATGAGCTAACATGGGCACACATTTAAGGTCACACTGTAAGGTCAGAATCCTTCCATCTATTTCTGAGCTCCACTCTCACTTGGTGTTAGTCAGAAGAACAGGACTGCCTGGGCTAAAGTGAAGATGCCTCCAGCTGACTTCTGTTTGGGGCCCGAGTGCTCATCCAAAAACCTGTTGTCCTGCAGAAAAGGGCCACGAGCTACTTGTTCTGTGGCCACCAGAACAGCTGCTAGGTTGCTCACCCCAAGCATGTCTTAACCAGAGCTTTAAATTTTCATAGAGAACTACTTCATACATGTACATGCAATCATGTAATACAGATGCATCTGTGTGTGTAAAATATACATGTGAAGGCACAGCAAATGACACATGAACCCACTTGACTGTAAGCCCAGCGTACGCAGCTCAGTAGCTGCCCACTATGCTCCTCCCTGTTGGATGTCCGAGCTCTGGCTTCCTGCTCCCCCTCCCACGCTTCTGTTCCTTTACTCTTTCAGATTCCTACCTTACCCCGATCCTCAGGGGTGCGGTAAGCCTCAATCAATGCACATCACAATATTTCAGATAGAAATTACAGGAATTCATACCATAACCTCAGTGATTTCTGCAAGGCATGACTTAAGCTAAGACTCGAGAGCATCACAAACTTAAGCCTTCCTTGTATTCTTAGTGAAATGGCGCTCACCTCTTTTGGAGCCCTGGGCCTTTTTGGATTGCCTCCAGTTCTGCCAGCAGAGAAGACACCTGGGAAAGGTCACACAACACTGCAGTTTAAGCCATTCACTTCTGTCTCTTCTCTCCTGAATTAGAGGCACTTTCCTGGGCGGCTTCTGTGCTTCTGGCCTGGCTGTCCATCACTAGGCTGCGGACAGAAGCTATTTCTAAATGTAAGCAGGCTGCCCTCCTCTCCATGACTTCCCACTGAGGATAAAGCCCAAGCCCCCTCTGACCTGCCGGGTCCATCTTCTCTGACCTCTGCTCATTCTTCACTAAGCCCTCCTCAAAGGATATGTCAATCAAACTGCAATTCTTTACTCAATAGGCCATACCTGGTTCCTCTATTTCAGAATATCATTTTCCATGCCAGCCTAAATGTCATTTTTTTTTGTATAAAAAAATTTCCTTTTTCTGACTTTAGTTAAAATATAATTACATCACCTCCCCTCAACCTTTCCCATGCATTCCCCAACTCCCTCTCAAACTGATGGCCTCTTTTTAGTTATTATTGTTATACACACACATAAATATACCAGTGTAACCTATGTGGTCCATTTAGTAGAGCTTGTGTATATGATTTTAGGGCTTGGTAGGATTCAGGCATTACGCTGGCCTGCCCTGTCATCTAGCAGGATGCACCCAGGCAGTACCTTGGTCAGTCCAGGGTCCTAGTCTATACGCAGGCACAAAAGGTCCCTTTAAGAGACAAGCTTCATCTATTCCCGCTCTTTCTTTCTGCCATTTATTTCTCTAAGGAGGCAGCTTTCTTTCCCTGTCTCTCCCTTTTCTTTCTCTTCTCTCTCTCTGCATCTCTGTCTCCCGTTCTCTCTTTCTTCCCCCATTCTCTTTATCTCAGTAAACTCTACCCTCCAGCTCTGTCTGCATGGTGTATTTGTCTCCCACCTGGGGTCCTAATCCACCAAGGTCCCAGCTCATGCAGTACTCATGACAGGGCTGACTCACAACAGGACTGGATAACTAAGTAGGGGCCGCATCGCTGGGAGAGACTGCTCCATCTCTCAGCAGCTGCCCTTGGCTGCCTATCGTTCTGTGCTGGGACAGGACCCTGCGAGACCTCTCTGCCACATTAGTATGTCTATTTGGTACTGTCACTGTTCAGGGCTTGTTTGGGTATGTGGGTGTCACCTTTTGAAAGCCTCCCCAACTTAAGCGTGGGTCAGGTGTCTACCACATATGTTCCGCTTTTGTCTCTACTGTCCTGGTTCTGATCACACATCACAGTCATTGCTTAGCCATCATCATTTGCCCCCAGTTCATCAGCTGCTCTGAGGAGCTGAACACCACACATCTGGCCCACTCTTGTGTTGTTGGCCTCTAGAACATGGCTGGAAGAGGGAAGGCTCTAGCTAAAAGACACAGAAGAAAACACAAGAGCTCTGCTGCCTTTGTGCTGCTTCCTGCCCACACGAAGCCCAACACGATTAGAATCTACCAATGGGCTCGCGTTAAGAAGCTGAGTACAGGCAAGGCCATAGCAGCTAACTCTAATGATGCCAGAATATACAATCTGGTCACATTGAGAGCTCTTACTATTCTTCAGTTATTTATGGTAAATACCTAGGTCCATGTTCTAAAATTTTAGCTAAGGGAAAGCAAGATGCCTCAGCAGGTAAGGGTGCTTGCTGCCATGCCTGACAACTTAAGTTCAATCCCTGGGCCTCACCTAATTAAAAAAAAGAGCGAGAGAGAGAGAGAGAACAGAGAGAGAGAGAGAGAGAGAGAGAGAGAGAGAGAGAGAGAGAGAGAGAGAGATCTAGCTCCCACAGGCTATCCTCTGATTGCTACAACTGACAAGGAATGCACACAAAAATAACACATGCAAACAAACAAACAAAACATTTTAGATTTTAGTTAAGAGGCAGCATTTCTCTTTTGGTATGATTCTGTTTCATCAGTGACTTCCTTTCTAGTTCACATCTTTAGAAAAGCTTTGGTAAGAGTGGCTGAAGTTGGGAAAGGAGCTTAAGGTTGGAACAGAGAAAAGCAAGCCCTACTTTAGGGTACGTGGAGAAAGCAGCCCTACTTTAGGTAGCGGGCTAATAAAACACACTGTCAGCCAACAGAGAGGCAGGCCTCTGGTTGCAGCACAGCTTTGTCTTCATGTAATAAAGCCCTTTAGCCCTAAAAATCTTTTATGAACTAGAGCTGAATGACTAACCAAGTCGGCACTCTGAGAGAACAAGACTCCCAGATGGAAGCCATCCAACAAGTCGGTGCCACTGTCGCTGGCACGCTATAGTCTCCAGGGCCATGTCTCTGCAGTTTGCCTTCCAAGCTTTCCCTACACAAACTGCTCATTCAGCCCCCCGCTCCTAGCATAAAGTAGCAGCCCTTCCCAGTATTCTGTGACAGAGACTCTTCCTTGATGAGAGCTGTCCCAAATCACTCTCCGAAAGCCCACCGTGAAGGAAGGCTTTAGAGTTCTCTGACAAGTGCAGCCTAAAGCCCAGAGCGGGCTCTAGAAGCCGAGAGGCCTCACTTCGCTCTCACCTGCTCTTCCCACGTGCGCAAGTGAGCTACTCCAACACAGGCAAGAAAGGTAATTCCATCTTTCTGGAAAGCACAGAGGTGACGAACGTACCTTGGTGCTCCTTCGTGTGTTGTCAAAAAGCTCCACCTTGAAGGATGCGCCATTAAGACACACGATGGCTGACGGCTCTGAGACCTCGACTTGGGACAGGGTCAGAGCGCTGAGCTGCTCTTCCAGGGACAGGCTGAGGCCTTCACTCTCCAGTTCTGTCGGGTCCAGGGCCTTGGAAGAACAGAGAGAGGGGTGGGAATGGGACAGAAGGTAGCAGCTTTCTTTCCAGCTGATTTCTAACACTCAAGAGCAATATATCTTTTTTATCTCTGATACTATGGAAAAGGCCTTGCCTGAAGCATGACCCTGAAGGGTTTCAACAAGCTGTCAGCCAGGTTACATAGTCATTCTGCTTTCATAGTTACTGCAGCTGACAGTCAAAGGAGTAATGCCATAGTGAGGATTCTAGATACGCTTCTGTCTAGAGTAAATAAAGCTCCCTTCTGGTTTGTGCTTGAGTTTTCATAAGCCTCGGGACTGACCAACAGTCACCACATAGGCTTATGACATTCTGAGACACCAAAGCACTCAAAAATGGATTCCTTAACACAACGTCACTCCCTGGTCTAAAACAGTGTGTTCCTAAAACAAACAAACAAAAAATGATTAAAAAAAAAAAGTAAATCTGTTGCCATGAAAATCATGAGAATTAACAAACATTTATATAAAGTATAAGAAATGAGTCTCTTCTCAACCCATTAAAGTCCTGCAGATCAGCGTTTTCCTTCACTTGAGAGCCCGGGCCCCGGTTATGGAGGACTCCAGAGGTGACAGCAGACTGGAGCAGTGGTTCTCAACTGTCCTCATACTGTGACCTTTAATATAGTGCCTCACGTTGTGGTGACCCCAATCATAAAATTATTTTCATTGCTACTTCAAAACTGAAATTTTCTACTGTTATGAGCCATAATGTAAACATCTGTATTTACTGATGACCCCTAAGTTGGAAACCACGGACCAGCGTGTGTTCTCTCACCGACTTCAGCAGAGAGAGGTGGCAGCAGCACTGGCGGAGTCGCAGAAGCTGGGACAGGACGTGCACGGTGCTGGGTCTCAGTGAGTCTGCTGGAGTGGAGCACTGGGGCACACTGGACTCAAACTCCTGCGCCACTTCCAAGAGAGACAGGGCAGGATTTAAAATAGGGAAATCTTGGAAGAATTGGGAACTGAGTGAGGCTGGTTAGCCTGTTTTTGATCTGAGATTCAATAATTTAGCTGTGATACTTTTTAAAGAAAAAGTTTTTGGGGTGCTATATGCGCCATGGTATGCACGTGGAGGTTAGAAGACAACCCCAAGGACTCAGCTCCACCCTCCTTCCACTACATGGGCCCCAGGGATTGAACTCGGGTTGTCGGGCCTGGTGCCCAGCACCTTCATCAGCTGAGCCTTAACAGCTCTGTGACATACGCTTATCGAGTCAGATGAAGTACTGGGGTTTTCTGTCGCCTTGCCTATATTTTAAATAATGCAGATTTAAAAAAGAGAAAGAAGTCCTTACGTTTTAATGTCAGTGTACTTTCTTCCGGCTTAATGAGCTTTGCTAACATGTAGTAGTCTCTCTGGTACCTGGGGCCCATAAGCTGTTTCTGCTATTTTAACGGCTAGTAGTCCCCTTTCAGTGGCTACATGTTTGAATGTCCCTGGCTTACCTCTACTGAATGGATTATCAGGGCTTCTTCCAGGGTGGCTGCCTCTTCCTTCATGTCTCTTTAGATAGGACTGCAGAGCTGACCTATCTCAGAACAAGAAAGGAAATACACATATTACGGTCACTAAAGCCAGACTGCTTACAGCGGCTGCTACTTAAATTGGAGCAGGGTCTGGGCAGGTTATAGGATGCACTGGTTAAACAATGCTCACTCAGCTCACAGCAAGCAGGAGCCACAGACAAAGCAATAATCGATTATTATCATTATTTCTAAAACAAAACTTTTGAAATTGGTAGTAAGTATAAAGTATAAGAAGACAAAAACCATTCTTGGAAACGGAAAGTACCACGCAGAAGGGAGCAAACGGAGACTCCGGGAATGACAAGAGTTCTGGAGAAAGTGCAGAGAACAAACAATAACAAAGATTACAAAGCTGCTTTTGATTTGAGCTCCAGTGAGATGCTGGGTGGTAGGTTAAAGGTCAAAGAGAGTCATTATCCAAAACAGCCCCAAAAGAGCGAAGATTCTGCAGCTTGATTTCTATGTAAACAAGCCAATTAAAAGTCGGGTCAAGAATCTGCCTTCAGTGTGTATGAGAGACAGAGAAAAATCAAGGAGAAGGGAGGGAGGAGAAAAGGCAGTAAGAAAAAATGCAGAGCTTGGAGGCTTTCTGGAATATAAAGATGTAACATGTTAGGATCATACATGAAACTGAAGGAAACCTAAGTCCAGACTTCTCCCTAAGCCAAGAAAGGGAAAACCAAAGCACCAGAGAAAGTGCTTCTTTACGGCACCCACCTGGACCTTGCAAGAAAGACGTCATAAACATCCCGTTCGTCCTCAGAAAGCTTTAAACGGTGCAGCTGAAATCTACGCTGGGGCAGCGGCACCTGCAATGGGAGGAGGAAGCTCTGTAAGCCAACGGAATCTTCAGAGCAGACGCCTAGCACACTGGCCCTCTCATGCCAACCTCTGGACAGCAGCTCCCTTCCCTGGAAAGGACTGTGCCAACACAGCATCGGGGACTGCTCTAAGGACGGTCTCCTTAGAAGGGACAGGCTCCTGACACAAAGCTGGTCTACCTGAGGTCCTGGTCACCTTCCTTCCCTGGCCTCACTGGGGATAGGCAGAAATCTGTTTACCAAAGGTTTACCGGTGGAGTCCAGTTGGTCTTTTGTTCTCCTTAGCAAAAGGCTCCTGGTTAAAATGCTTAACCGTTCTCCTCCTTTCACTGAACCATTGTCAACCTGACTCTTCCAAAGACTGAACTCATCAAACGGGGAACAGCGGAGAAACCTTTTGTAGAGCCAGGAAGAGCAGGGAGAAGATGGAATTGGTGTTCAAAGTAAGGCACAATGAAAACAAACCAGAACTGCTACCCCTGCCACCCCATCCCACCTGAAAATGAATTCCATAGCAATGTCTAAGGCCAAACGGACACATGCCAATCAGGAGGACATTGTAAAGATGTGCATTCGACATGCACACTGCAAACAGTCACCACAGGACATACACGGCTAGAATTTATTGCTAAAGCATCAGTGTTAGCAAAGAAATGCCAAAGCCTTTTATGGGCACATTTGAAAAGATAAGCATTTTGAAATCGGCATTCTTTTCTGTTTGCAATCCTGCCCTTACTCCAAGTATTTTAAAGCAAAGTAGCCTAAAACAGTCACTAGACTGAAGAACGGTAGCTCAAGCTGCTCTGTACTTTTACATAAATATAAAATACTGGTATCAGCCTGCGAATTGACAATACTTTCTCATGCGTACCCATCCTTTCCCTTTAAAGCTTGCTACCTGCTACACAAGACAACCTGGACACACACACTACACGTGAAATAATGACGAAGGGTTGCAGGCTAGGGATGGGGTTCACATTAATGACCCCCAAGAGGTCACTCACTTCAATAGTGAATACATATCCAACAGGTTGTTCTGAATAGGGGTTCCCGTGACAGCCCACCGGGCTTGAGCTTGTAGCTTACACACAGCAATGGATGTCTGGACTCGAGGGTTCTTCACGTTATGAGCTTCATCCAATATGATTCGAGCCCAGACTACTTGAAGCAAAGGTGCTGAGATGCCCTGGAAGAGACAAAGCAATAGCCAACACCAGTATGGGGACACGCATGTTCCTCAAGGAGATGAGGGGGCACGACCAGTAAGCACTGAGCTCCCTTGCAGACCCTCTAATTTGCTTAGACCCTCCCACTGAACTAAGTTCAGAAACCAAGGGCGAACTTCTCAAAAAGTTCAAATAAATGGCCACTTAAGAGTCTGTCTCTGAACTTAAAATCCCAAGGGTAAAATGCTTTGTAGTTTGAGTTTTCATTTATTCTTTCAACCCAGATTCAGCAGTATTAGCAATGTTTGGCCAGGAACACACTAGGTAGAAGGCTGAAAATTCACTCGCTTATTAAAATATATCCACGAAATTGACTACAAGCCTATTTTGAGTTGTAAGATGCTAAGCCAAAAATATAAAGGCCAGCTCACACACTCAGGGAACTCAAACTCCAGCAACAGGGAAAGATGCAGGCAGAGCATGAAGTCTATACAGAAGTCACTCACTACAGGGCGGAGGAAGTCTGCTGCACCAGGACTTCCTCTCCTCCCCACACGGCAGAGCTCCCCATCCCCCCCCCCCACCACCAAGCTGAACAGCCACAACCGAGTGAGCACCAGAAGCCAGGAAGACTCATCCAAACGATGAACAGAACAGTGCAGAAAGGCTTCCTGAAAGAGCTTAGGGAAGATGTACCCGAGGAAAGGGGGGTGGCTAAGCACTATCTAGAGAGAACCAGACGGTGGCAGGTGTGATGGTGTGCAGAGTGTGCAGTGCCACGGGGAGGGAGCAGGTGAGGAGAGATGAAGGCCAGAGAGAGGGCAAGACTGGAAGGTACCTGACATTAGGTAATAGAATTTGGGGTTTATCTCAAGAGCCATGGAAAGGCACTGAGGTTGGTTGTGAGCTGGGGAAATACTCTATAAATCACCCAAAATAGAGAAATCCTTACAAAATTATACAATAAAGCCTGCACATCAGCCAAGAGTCCCTGAATCTGCCTACGAACTAAGAACTTTTCAAGGTCATCCTTCAGTCTCCACCCTGCAGCCCTATTATTTACAAGGCCCTTTCTGGAGGCAGAGGAAAGGCAGGCAATACAGGGTAACACACACTCACATACACTAAACTAAAATACAAGAGAGTATACCCCCACAGAGCTGAAAACAGCGAATGAGACTCTTCTGCATCCATGTGTGATTATCACTACCACAACTACAGGGCATGTTCCTTTAGTCCTAAAAACAGCTGAACTCTGTGCCAAGTACTAATTTATCACTGGGTGCTTGGCCAGGTTAAGAGCAGTGGGAAGAAAGACTCGTGTCCACAGGTGGAATATCTGGAAGATTCTTCTCCTTGCAGGAAAATACCTTTGCTATCTCTCCCATTAGACTACGTGTGCCCCCACCTCCACTTCCCTGGCATCCCCAAGCCTCATCCTGCTGGCATCCTAAGCCTCTCCTCCCTGGCATCCCCAAGCCTCACCTCCACACTGAGGTTTGAACCTGGGACCTCTCCCTCTTGCTTCGTTGTGGGAATCTCCTTGGCCAGAAGGCTGTAAGTAGTAATCACGATGTCGTATGTAGAGAGGCTGCATGGATACAATACAAAGCAAACAGTAAACAATTCCTCCTGGAGCCTGCCACAGGCAGAGTTGACTTCTTTATAAAAAGGCCCAGAGAACTGGAGAGGAAGAATACCTCAATGGTAGGGTGCTTGCCTAGTATGCTCAAGGCTCTGGGTTCAACTCCCAGTACTGCAGAAACAAAACATAGGGCAGGAAGAAACGGAAGCAGCACTGACACTGAGTAATCATGTCCTTGGTACACACATGCACTCTCCCTGTCCCTCTGTGTGTATGAACATATGAACTATGAGGCAGGTTTTTCTGCCAGTTTGCTACCTCTTACCAACGTGACCATTTTTACTACAGTATGTTCACTGTAGCCAGAACTCTTCCCACCCAGTGAGTTAGAAAAGAAAATCTCTAGCTGCAGTCACAGGAAGTCTGCAATGGCCTGGTCAGAACAGAGTAGGGCAGGGTTGGAAACTGGTACCTAATGATCTGAGGTGGGCGATGCCAACGGTCCCTTCTCACTACCACTTTACAACAGGTCTGTGAAAACCCATTAACTCGGGCTGGGTTTCTGAGCTTCACTTAGTAAGCGATCAGCTCACCTCCTACATTATTTACAGACAAAGGCTCCAAGGAAAGGCAGGAATCGTATTTGAATAGATTTAATATCATGTACCTCAGAGACAGCAATAAACTCTTTAGGTGTAAAATGATACACCTAATTCCAAATGGCAGTACTGTCTATGAATCCTCAGCATAAAATATAAGTGACTGATGTCTCTAAGTACAAGCCCGTTGTGCTCAAAGTGCAAATCAAGTGAGCTCCAATTGTTTCTAAGGCTCCAGGGCAGAAGCAGGCGACAGCAAAGGCTGCATCCTGCCAGGAGTGCACTGACCATGACAACAGGTGTGTTTTCAGATTAAGGTCAGACTTTCAAGATGGCTCAGGTTAGGAGCACTTGCTGCTATCCAGCACACTGTGTGGCTAGTAACTATCGGTAACTCCAGTTTCAGAGACTCTGATGCCCTCTTCTGGTCTCTACAGGTACCTGCATGCATGTGGTGCACATATATAACACTCATAAACATTAAATAAACACATCTTTAAAAATTAAAAAATAAATAAACCTTTAAAATTAAAAAAACATTTAAAAATAAAAGTCACCAATCTGGTACTTGACCCTGGATGACAACTGTACAGTCTTGGAGGACACAAAATATCCAGTAGCAAAGGCTGGAGAGCGCCCACATGGGAGGAGGAACAGCAATGCTCTCATCCTTGGTTAAACAGCAAGTATTTGCCTCAGATTTACACATCCCAGTTAAAAACAGAAAACAGTTCCTTTCCATTAACAGGCAGGTCTAGATGTAGTTCAGTGGTAGGTGCTTACCCAGAATGCTCCAAGTATTCAATCCCCCCTCCCCCCTGTATTGGAAAGAAAATTGAAGCCAACACCCTCCAGAAAAATAAGATACAGATTAACATCTGGGGTGATCTTTTCTCCTGCCCATCCATCCCCTTTCAAAAATTTTTACTTAAGTCTAACAATTCTGCTCCTAAAACTCTCAAGTCTAAACTTTTGGACTCGTTTATGTATGAAAATGCAGCATAAACACTCACACATGCACACGGCCTACAGTAGGCGGATGACAGATGCCACGAGACAGCGTGCAAGACTAGGTGCTTCCTTTCACACTCAGGGAAATGGAAAATGAGTTCTAGAATTAGACCTCAGCTCTCCATTCCCCAGGGTTTAGCAGGGGATGCGGCAGCCACCTGGAGGCAGCTCAGGCACTGCAAGCCACTCACACTGCAGCTTTGGCAAGGGAGTGACCAGTAGGCAGCAAAGTAAAACCACTGAAAGGAATCTGAGCGCAGGCTGTCTGACAAGGAGACTGAAAATTTCACACATCATTAGCCTGACAAAGAGAAGACACGGGCAAGCAGAAAGGCAAAAGGACTCTTAGAAGGGTTGCAGATGCGTCCAAGCACTCCTGACTTACACTCTGGCTTGCCGACTTCTGTTTGGCCCATGGTAGAGACAGATTCTGAGTTTGTTGCTGTGCACACGTTTCTTTACTTCTTTCTCCCAGTGATGGATCAGGGAAGCGGGGCAGACAATTAGTGTTCCGTTGGAGGTAAAAACAGAGGAGTCTTGAGTGGGGGAGAGCAATAACTAGTTATATTTATTGAACAGCCTTGAGCAGTAACTTCTTCTTGACTGACTTTATCCCTTCAATCAATATTTTTAACTACTGTTTTATTTCTACACAAAGCAAATGGAATAGGAAGTGGAAGCAAATTTAAACCAAAGCACTTAATTATTTATTTTCTCCTATAAAAATGTAGATTCTGAGTGTAAAGACAGGGAGAAAAGTGGGCAGCGTGCGGCCGTCTAAAGAGTAATGCTTTTTCACAGTGGCCAGAAGTGGGAGCCGGCCTTTTCCTAAGGCCTCCTGAGATGATTAACTACAGGGAATTATTGGTGTTTTTCCAATGAAAATCTTAATTTAATGGACTTCCATATTAAAATGTAAATACAAGGTCAGGCGGTTATGGCGCACACCTTTAATCCCAGAACTCAGGAGGCAGAGGCAGGTAGATCTCTGTGAGTTAGAGTCCAGTCTGGTCTACAAAGTGAGTTCCAGAACCGCCAAAGAGCTGTTACACAGAGAAACCCTGTCTCAAAAAAAAAAAAAAAAAAAAAAAAAAAAAAAAAAAACCAAAAAAAAAATNATAATTAAAAAATACACACATATATATACACACACACACACACCAAAAACTACGTGAAAATAGAGCCCATATGTAAGTAGGAAAAGCCTCTTCCAAGTCAAGTCAATGCTATTTGGAATCATCTAGTGATACACACTGCTCCTCATCTCCACGTGTGCTGTGTGCTGCACAGCAAGGGTGGAGGCCCAGCTGCAACAGTGTTTACCATGGGCCCCGAGAGCAGAACACATCCTTCTGCCCACACAGCAAAGCAGGACCTGTATTCGTGTTCACAGTAATTTACAGCATTAACAGATAATATATAGCATCTTCATGAAGATATGTTCTATTCAATGATATATATTCAATTGTTGAACAACTGAGCATTTTGAATATTCACCCTTTAAAAAGCACATTAATTTGGATCTACCTGAGAGTTTATTCCCACCATCAACAGAAGACAGTAATTACTGTTTTTGAACTAACCCTTTTACCTCCAGAAAACTTTTTCTAAGTTTAAATAAATGGTGGGGGGAGTCATTAGCTGGCATATTCAGCATTAAAAAAAAAACACAGGAAAGTAGCCAACGCGGTTTTCTAACAGATTAATTAGATGTTTCTCTAGTGGCTTGAAAATCTCCCTCTGTTGGTTCAAATAAGGTTGGAAACAGCAGAAGGTGCTTAGATTTACCATTCTTGGAAAGCCACGTCACAGTCATGCTTCTGTCCTCTTCCTTGCTTTTCTCCTGATTCTTCTTGGTTAGGATGAGTGCAATCATTGTCAGGGTTTTTCCTAAGCCCATATCATCCGCTGGAAAATAAGACACAGAGAGTCAACACAACTTCAGAAGACTCCTCTGGCAGAAACTGACCCACTCTCTATTCCTACCAGCTTCCTGACCCAGTGGGGTCTTTGCTTTTGCAAAAATGATCTGCTATTTTATATGGAGAGCTAGGTTAGACACTCAGAAGGCAATAGTTAGATCTTGCTCTACCCCAGTTTCTCTGTTACAGTGGATTGAGTGACTCTTAGTTCCATGTCGTTTGGTCTTGCTGTTACTTCCAAAAGCAGCAATGTCGAGATAACATACCCTATCACCTACTCTACTGATGCTGCTACGGCTCCAACAGTCTGCCATGCACTTCTTTTATCTACCAAAGGCCAGAACTGAACACATTATATACATACGTGTGCGTGTGCATATATGCATGCATTGTGTGTGTGCGTGTGTGCACATGAGCGCATCACATACCAAGACACATGTGTGGAATCAGTTTTCTCATTCCACTTTTTACATGAATTCCAAAAATCAAGCTCAGGTCAGCAGACTTTTACACGTGTTGGTTGCTGAGCCAACTCACTAGTCCTGACATTGTCTGTGTCATGCACTGTCCCTGTACCAGTCACTGAGTTTACCTAACTTATTCTTCACACCACATGTGACACACAGGCTCACTCAGGTTGCTAGGTTCATTCAAAATAATCACTGTGCTCAAGCAGAAGTAAAATGTGAGCACATGGGCTAGGATTCAAGCTCTGCTTCTGCCACAGCCCAGGAGTCAGTGTGGGCAGCCTGTCTACCGACCTGAGAGGCCTGCTCCCAACGTTAGGTTAGGCTGCCCTTAGCCTCTGGAGGGAACATGTAAGGAAGACTCTCACATCTCAGAATGAAGGAGGGACTCACTCTGCCCATACCATTTGTATATGATGTGGTTCTGTGACAAACAGCGCCTTTCCTTCCGAAGGATGGAACCTTGGTGTCTACTGGGATGAAACGGCCTATGTAACGAGCTCCTAGAAAACTCCCGTGGGCACTGAGGTTCCAGAATGCTTTGATGACTGGAAACATTCTCCAACCTACTACTTGGATGTAAGTGTGACCCAAAGACTGCTCCCAGGATTTTGTCCCGTGAGCCTTCTGCTGATTTGTGGAAGTTATAATCTTGGGATGGACTAGATGTTATGGGTTCTACTACAGATCTCTGAACCCAGGGCACACAGACCTGACACTGGGTGGCCTTAGCTTCCTTCAACACTCACAGCAAAGTCATGACCAGTTTGATATTTGTGGCAATGGCCTGTGTTCCTGGAATGCAGGCCCCCAGTCTCATGTTCCACAGCTTCTAGAGACTGTGGAGCCAGCAAGGAATAAACCCTCTGCTTGGTCAGAGGCAGCTAACGTTGGCTGCCAAGACTTCCTCTAGTAGGCTTTGTATTTTCAACCAAGTTCTTAACGTTTCTACACTTTAGCTTCCCATCTGAAAACAGTGGACACACCTTCCTCACAGTGTTGTGACATTCAATGAAACAATGCAGCCAGGCTAACCGAGTGCTTAAGAATCCCGCAACTGTTGGCTCTCATCAGAATACATACTTACCCAGAATCCCTCCTTGTGGTTTCTGACTTTCCCGCCACAGTAACCATGCTAATGCCTGCTTCTGGTGGAGAAGCAAAGGGACCTGACAAAAACAAGTCAAACGTCAGACTGAATTCCTACGAAGGCTATGGCGGACCCTGGCTTCATTCCACTCTTCCTTCACACAGGGGAGCCCTCTGTAGTCTAGCTGTTGCCACAAGTCACCGTTTCTCCCATTTGCTACACTGACGCCTTGGCTACAGCTAATGATTGGCACCTCTAGTCAGACGGACGCTCCTGTCCGTGTCTCCACACCCACTAAAAGCCCATGTTTGTCCTCTCAATTAGAAGTCAGGTTTTTTTTTTTTTTTTTTTTTTTTTTGCAACCAAACCTCTGATGGCCACTCGGCTTTTACTAGCCTTTCTGTCTTTTTCATGATCCTTATACTTGACTCTTCTCTCTGCCTAACAGCCCAGTATGGAACGCTGGTCACAGGTTGTTGTAGCCCTTGAGCTAGTGACTTCCCCCCAGTCCTTCTGTGTTCCCGTTTCCCTTGCACTCTGGGAGAGTATGAACTTCACAAAGCATCCGCTCTTCTTCACAAAGTGGCCACAAGTGCAGAGTGCATCTTGAGCATTCACACCTAAGTTCACTTGCCAACGCCAGGCTCCACTGCAAGGGCTTCTCCTGACTCAGGGGCATCACCTGCTCCCCCAGTTCGGGGAGGATGACAGCCATTCATCATTCGTGCATACCACTCCCTCACCACCACCTCACTGTCCTGGGTTGTTCCTATCCTCTTTGCTCTCTAAATAGCTGCAATTTTTTTAAGGCATAAAAGTACTTACTGACCCAGATGATGTTTCTCTTATTCCGAGTTCCTTTTGGACTTTATATATGTGGCCTATGACACACTGCAGGGTGCTCTTTATCTGTCTAGGGTCACATTTGTTTTGTGTACCTCCATCCCCAGCAGAACATGACAAATAACAACCGGCAACTACAGGAGAAGCCACTAAGGCATTTATCTGCAGGACGCTGGACACTCTACACTGCTAGTCTTCCTGGCTCACCTTCAAGCCAGCTGGGTCTTCTGCCACTGCTGTTTCATCAGGACAAGACTCCAGTGACCGATGCAGTTCATCAATGGCTTCACTTGTGATCTTCCATACATTATAAAGGCGATGTTGGTTCATATTGCCTGTGAACAGACAAGCGTTATCCAAAGATGTCAAGTGCCATGACCCGAGGGATGAGGATGTAGTGCAGTTGTGTGTATAGTAGAGTATAATGCCTGCCTTGTATACATGCATTTGATCCGCTGCACCATACAATATAAGATACATGAGACCCTGACTCTCAAAAAAAAAAAAAGCAAGTCAAGTATCATATTCTGGATAGAGCCTCAAAAATGTAATTATTTGCCAAATGATGGATCTGTATTGAGTGAAAATTCCTACCCCAAGACTCTACTAACCTCCCAAGCTTCTCCACTCCCATTCTGTTTGCTTAACCACATGAACTATAATTTCTAATCCTTGTCTAGAGCTGAAGATCGTACTCGAGGCCTTGGACAGGACAGGCAAGCACTACCACTGAGTTACATCTTCAGCCAGGTCTCTGGGACTTTTGATATCTGTTTTTCAGTTCTGAAAAGGAGTGGACAAAAAGGTCATGCTGGAAGCAAAGGTCTCTGGGTTCAAAGCTGAAAAGCCAGTGAGAGTAAAAGCGATGCACGAAGTCCTCTGTGCAGACAGAAAGTTGACCCCTGAGGTGCAGGTCACCAGCTGACTGTGTATCCTAATATACTGTTTGCCCTCTCATCCCACAAGGATAAGCTACCCAAGCTGTTCGCACTTCTGGGGGGAAAGCATTCTGGTACAAGGTTTCTAGATAACAGGAAACTTTAAGTTCTAAACTGCCTTAAAACTGTCTTATTAGAATTCTTTCCAAGACTTATCACATGCTCTTTTACCTCAATAACCTGCAATAATTTAATGTTTCTCTAGGTGGCTTCGTCACTGTCATGGAACGGAATAACAAGCAGCCAAGACTGTTATGCTATGTGAGCATGTGCTGTCTCAATGCCCCTAAGTTCAAACACCACTCCATCTATCAGACACTCCCTAGCAACGCTGCCCTTCAAGGTTTTAGGGCTCTAGTGGTTCTCACTGGGAGAGAACTGCCTTTGCTGTTCTAATTTCTGCCAGGCAGCTTCCACTCCCAGCTCCTGACTGGTAAACCAAGTCTTCAGATAGCACAGTGAAGACTGGGAACTGGGTGTGGAGGCGCACACCTTTAGTCCCAGCACTCGGGAGGCAGAGGCAGGAGGATCTCCTTGAACATGAGGCCAACCTAGTCCTCACAGCAAGTCCCAGGCCAGTCAGGGATACACAGTGAGACCCTGTATCAAAAAAATAAAAAAACAGGGCTGGAGAGATGGCTCAGCGGTTAAGAGCACTGACTGCTCTTCCAAAGGTTCTGAGTTCAATTCCCAGCAACCACATGGTGGCTCACAACCATCTGTAATGAGGTCTGGTGCCCTCTTCTGGCCTGCAGGCATACAAGCAAAACAGAATATGGTATACATAATAAATAAGTAAATAAATAAATATTAAAACAAACAAACAAAAAAAAAAAAAAAAAGCCAAGACTGCTTCGGAGCTGCAGAGTTGTCTGCAAAGTTCGCAATGGGAACTTAGCTAACCAGGGAATTATTGCTTTCTGTGTGTCTGTAAATCATTGGCTGCCACTCACACCATTCTGTTCTGCTTCAGTGCAAGCCCCACCTCTCATATGGGGACAGATTAAAAACCACAGCTGCTGCTCCACCTTCCTCATAATAAGTTAGTTTTCACACACATCATTATCCTGTGTGCCGACCTCTGGGTCGGTGGATGGGCACATGGTATACGGCAGTAAGCAGTCCCTAGCCTCAGAGACCTAAAACAGCTGTTCCAGGCTCTATAGAAAAATCAAGGAAAATCAAGGTCTCCAACACATGTGCAACTTTCTATTCAAAAATGGCTGCCCCTTCTAGTGGGCACAAAGACACCTGCTAGGTAGCACATAACTACAGCATCAGCTCGTCACAGTAGGGTTGAATCCTCGACTCTCACCTCTTGAGTACTGGCTTGATCCTTCAGGAGTGCCCTGGCAGCCTGCCTTTAGTCCTAGAGAGCCTGCAAGCTGGCCATCCTGAGTGGGAAGGGGCTGGGGAGGCACAGAGCGTGGAGGCTCAGCAACAGTTTTGGTGCGGTCACTCTGCTGTGGTTCCCGAGAGCTACAGTTCTCCTTAGCTCCTGCTCGACAGACAAGGGAAGAGCAGATTAAAGCGAGAGAAACAAGCAGGGGCAATGCAGACGCAGTCAGGAGAGGCTTCACTTCAACTGTGCTCAGGCCACAGGAAGTAGGAATGCTTTTATAAACAATAGGATCATTAGAAGAAAGATCAGAAGCAAACACTAAAACAGGAAAAAAAGAGAACAACCTTTATCAAAATGTCTCTATCAAGTTCACAAGCACGGAGTTCTGGGGCAAACCGTCTTACCTTGATCTGGGGAGAGAGCCAGGGCACTGAGGTCATCCTCCAATGCCTGGATTTGCTTCAGCAACTTCTCACCCTTGTCAGGGAGAGCCTGGATATTCACTGCAGCCAGCGTGCCCTAAAAAAAACAGATACTATCAAACGGAACTGGCCTCTCAAGTTAATAAAGGACAACTTCAGATTCAAATGGCTTAGCATGCTGAAATTCTAAAAATATCTTGTAATTATGAATGTAAAAACCAGGATTAAAAAGCTAAACAAAACCCCAACTAGCTGCCTAAGCCTAAACATAGGAAAGGCAAGTATTAAACGGCCACCTATAAAGCCCTCTCAGGAAGCTACTCAGTTCTGTGAGGGTCTACCAGCTGCACACACCCTAACCTCAGGGCAGTGCTTCTCAACCTTCCTAATGCTGTGGTGACCCCAACCGTAAAATTATTTTCATCTCTACTTCATAAGTGTAATTTTGCTACTGTCATGAATCCTAATGTAAATATCCAATGGTCTTAGATGACCAAGGTAAAAGGGTCCTTCCATCCACACCAGGGCCGTGACTCACAGGCAAAGAACCACTGCTTCAGAGACAAAGCACAAGTCAAGACTGGCCTGCCTTCATTTTTTTTAAAATTTTGTTTGTTTTTAATTATATGTATTTGTACGTGTCTGTGTGTGAGTATGCACATGTAGATGCAGGTACCCAAGGAGGCAAGAAAAAGGCATGAGATCCCCTGGAGCTGAGGTTACAGGCAGTTTTGAGTCACCTGATGTGGGTGCTGGGAACCGCACCGGGGTCTTCTGCAAAAGCAGTATAACTGTAGACCCAACACTCACCTTCTTTTGCCTCAGCTGTGTTATAAGGTTTGCACGCTGGGCTGCTGGGTCAGAAGACTCGCCCTTCTTGGAGACACCTGAGGCAGCAGGTATCTGCCTTTGCACACACTGATCAGAAAGGTAAAGGTTCCCCCTCTTCTGTGAGTCCACAGGCAAGTCAAAGAGAAGTGGGGACTCAGGCCTACTGGATACACCATCTTCTTCCTCACTGTCATCGCTGCTGGAGACAGCATAGCGGACCTTCCCCAAGCAAAGCCCAGGAGCTCCTTCCCGGGAGGCCTGTGCTCTGGAGGTATCTGTCCCTGTTCTGCTTTGGGCCTCCCCATTCCTGAACTGCTCCCTGCTGAAGTGTCCTTCTTTCTGGGCCTTGCTTTTTGGGTTCTGACCAGGAACGCTCTGAGGCAAAGGCTGGGTTTCCTTTCCTCTCAGAGGTTCTGGCATGTCTGGGACATCTCGACTCTCACTCGCTGACATCTGAGGAACCACGCATGTTTGTTGAAGGGCATCTCCATGGCCTTGCTTGGAAGCCATTCCTTCAGTCTTCTTAGTTTGGGACTGAAGTTTCTCCTCTTGTTCTTTCCTGACACCGCCAGACTGTCTTTCTGTCACCAGGTCAGGGGAGGGGACTTTCCCCACGCTGCAGTTAGACTTGGGTTTCTGTTCTTTCTTTTGATCACAGGGCTGGTCTTCGTTTTCTGTCAGCTTCTTGTTACCTGTCTTTCTCTCACCTTCTCCTGTGACCAACTGCTTCCAGGGAGCTGCTTTTTGATTATTAAGCACCTTGAATGGGTTTCTTGGCTGGCTGGGAGAATGAGAAAATAAAACAGATGCCTGCGGAGGCTTGCTGGTTCCATGATGTTCTCTAGGATTAGGATCCTACAGACAATGAAAACAGTACACTGTAAAGGAAAACAAGGCCACCCTTCTGTCTAAAATGCCTTTTTGGAGGAAATGGAGACACAGCAAACACAATCCATGCCTAGTATAACTTCTGCAGGTAAGAAAGATGTCAAATTCACAACAAATCTGTTTCTCTCGGTGCCTTGTTCCTTCTCTGTACAGGGTCACTTCTTTCCAGGGCCCAAAGGAAAGCGAGGCCCAAGCCAAGCACCTTTACAGCCACACGTGTACCTCTCCCTCCCTCACAGACATCACACTTCCCAGGTCTAGTCCCCCGGCTCTGCATATGAGCAGGGCCTCTCCTACTCCTCCTCTCATAGTCTAGGAACCTTAGAGTTACATTTAGGTTATGTCAAAATCAAGTAAATACTGATCTGTAAAAAGATGGGGACGTTAACCTCTTTTTCCTAAGTAGGAGGATTCTGACTACTTTGAGGACACTGGAAAACCCTTGTGTGAAATGGGGCGGTGGGGGGCGAATGATGAAACTTGGCCCACTGCAGTGGCTCTCGGAATGAGCAGTCACACAGCTCTTCAGGGCTTTCTCAGAGGCAGTAAGATAGACACCAGCAGTTCCTCAGGGCTTGGGGGTGCTCTCTGTCAAAGCAGCTCACTACCCTGTCTTAACACAACACAAAGAAAGCAGATGGGTGATCCTACCTGCCACGGGACGTCCCCACACCAGCGCTTCCCCTTCGCCTTGCTTCTAGTGCACCGGAAGAACAACCTAGTGGAGCATAAAACACAAATGGTTAAGGCTACAAAAAGTCTTTAAGAGTTTTTTTTTTTTTAATTTTTACAAAGGGGTTTTAATTTTCTTTTTATGTGTATGAGTATTTTGCCTGCATGTGTATATATGTGTACCACATTCATGCAGTGCCTGTAGAGGCCAGAAGATGGCACCGAATTCTCTGGAAGTAGTTACAGGCCTGTAAGTGTTGTGGGTTGCCTATTATGAGTACCGGGAATGGAATCCATGTCTTCTGCAAGAGCGGTAAGTGCTCTTAACCACTGAGCATCTCTCCAACCCCCATAATTTAAAGAGAGAGAGAGAGACAAGGTCTCACCGCAGTCCGGGTTGACCACATCCAGAAATCTGGATTCAGGTCTTCATGCTTGCACAGCCAGCGGTTTACCTACTGAGCTATCCCCCCAGTCTTTGCAGAAGACATTTTTTAAGGGCTGGAAGGTCAAGAACAAAAATGATACAATAACCAGAGAGTATGAACAGGTTTGTTCTTTTTATTCTGTATGAAGAACAAATGAAATGGAGAAAGTAATCAGCAATGGCTGCTATATTTAGAAACAAACAAACAAACAAACAGACAGACAAGCAAACAAAAGAACTAACCAGATATTGTGTGTGCCAGAAGGGAGGTCACAAAGCTGTCTAAAAAAGGAAGTTGCCAAACAAGAAGATACCAGCAAGCTAGACACTGCATCACACAGCTGATTCTTCACAACCTGGGGCTCAAGACCATCATCACCACCCTTCCAGACAGAAGGCGGGGAGGGACACACTGAGATGCATGACCAGCAGAGCCTGGCCGCTCCAGCTCTCTTCAGGCAGTTTTTCTCAGTGTAACTGCACTCAACCTCACCATCTCAGCTCAAGCTTCCCATCAGTGAATGTGGTGTTTGGAAGTAGCTGGAGCTGGGTTTGAACCCCTGCAATCCCACTTCACAACTGTGGGAACTCAGATTCCCTTCCTAACCTCTCTCATAGCAGCCTTGCAGCTACCTTGTAAAACAGTTACTTACAATCAATCACAGCAGGTGGGCACAGAAGACGAGGGATAACAAGGTGCCACACAGCTGCCATTCTGCGGTAGCTATTATCTCAGCTGCCCCTTTCCTCCACTGTGTTAAGTTTAGAATCCCCAAGGTTCTTTTTTTTTTTATTTTTTATTTTGGATTTTTTGAGACAGGGTTTCTCCGTAGCTTTTGGTTCCTGTCCTGGAACTAGCTCTTGTAGACCAGGCTGGCCTCGAACTCACAGAGATCCACCTGCCTCTGCCTCCCGAGTGCTGGGATTAAAGGCATGCGCCACCACTGCCCGGCCCCAAGGTTCTTTTAATGCAAATTAGAAACCCATGGATTGTCTTCTACCACCTGGAGGGGTGGGTGTTTCTGTGTCAAGGGGTAGGAGATCTTAAGTGTCAGGAGGACAAGACTGCACCAAATAAAGATCTACCAGCCCCACTCTACTAACAGAAAACAATGTAATATATATATAGGCTAGGGAGATGGCTCAGTGAATGAAATGCTTCCTTGCAAATGTGAAAACTAAAGTTCTGAGCCCCAGCACCCACATAAAATCCAAGTGAGTATGGCAACCTTACTTACAGACCCCGCACTCGTGAGGCGGAGACAGAGGGTCCCCAAGACAAACTATCTAGCTAGGTTTGCAGAACCGGTGAGCTCCAGGATCAGTGAGGACCCTGCCTCAGTAAGTAAAGTGGAGAGTGACCAAGAGAGTCACTCAACATCAACCTCTGGCCTTTACACACATTTACGTACACACACCCACATACATACAGACATACATATACACATATCCCCCACATACATATAAACAACAACATTCCATTTACAACAGGATTAAGAACATAACCAGAGGAACACATTCAGTAAAATAAGTATGAGAACTTTATAATGGAAATTATCTAAAAACACTGAGAGGAAAATTTAAAGTCATACTACACCACGCTCACAGACTAGCAATGTCAATATTGATGTCTGCTCTCTCAAAACTGATCTCTGTAAATTATGCAACCTCAACAGTGTTGTTGTTGTCTGTAGAAACTTAAGAATTTGAATCTATATTTGATATGCAAATACAAGGATCCCACAAAGCCAGCACAATCTTGAAGTTGCAAGACATACTTGTTTACATAATTAACCATGCAAGAATATGTAAATGAAGCAATGGACAAAAATTAGCCACCTTAGACATTGACCCAAACTTAGGGTCAATTGATTTTTTTTTTTTTTTAAACAAGGATGCCAAGTATTTCAATGTACTTGGGTTGGGGACAGAGACTTAGAATACATAAATTCTAAATTACACAGGCTATTACACAAAAACTACCATGTATGTATGACCCATGCCTTCTCGGCCAACCTTCTGTCTTCAAGTCTCCACTGAAGCGAGGGCCAGGGGTATAGTGCAGGGGCAGAGTATGCCTTAGGTTTGATTCCAACCAGATGAATAAAGAACCACCAAACTGAACATCTGCAGTTCTCTGCAGTGGTCACGCTACTTCATGCCTTGGTACCCCAGTGCAATACATGGAATGCCTGGGAAGTTTCTACTTACTTTTTAAATCTCACGGCAAATAGCATCTCTCATTAATATGGACTTTCCCACCCTTCCCAAGGGAAACCACACTTTATTGAGTACTCAGCATGGTAGATCTCTGCCCTCTTTCTATTAGCAGAATTGAAGGTTGACAGGCTAGTGGGTTGATGTTATTAGCGAGGAAACAGTTATGGAAGAAGAATAACAACACAGCCAGTAAACCAGAAATCAACCATCGACTTCTAGGAATAGCTAGCTGCTGAGCATTTAGCACAGTGGTTCTCAACCTTCTTAACACGGTGACCCTTGAATACAGTTCCTCAAGCTGTGGTGACCTCCAACCAGAAAATTATTTTCATTGCTACTTCATAACTGTAAGTTTGCTACTGTTATTATTCCTAATGTAAATATCTGATATGTGACCCCTGTGAGAGGGTCATTTGACACCCCCCCCCCCCCCGTGCCAGGGTTGGGTTGAGAACCCTGACTTAGGGAGCAACAAGGTAAATGACGCTCAATATGTGCAAAAATAGCTTGTCTTTCAGTAATGATTTTAAAGAACAATCAAAAACATATCTAGCTGCAACTCTTTCAGATTAAAAAGAAAAAAAATAAAGGAAATGCTTCTAGATGCTCCTTTCGGACACTCACCTCCATTCTTTCTTGTTCTGTGACAGAAACAAGCCCTGAAGCTCTACCGCGAAGTCCTCATGCAATAAACAATGAGAAACAGGAATACTAGAAGGGCAAAAACATTGTTAGGAGACAAGGAATAGAAGCCAGCCGTCTGAAGTCAGATCCAAACTTGAATTCTTATTCTTATTGATTTATTTGGAGACAAGGTCGCACTATGTAGCCCTGGCTGGCCTGGAACTCACAACCGAGACCAGTCTGGCCTCAAACTTGCAGCAATCCTTCCTCTGCCTCTCGAGTCCTGGCTCACAAACATGTACCACCACAGCCACCCAGCTACAGATTTTTACACTAAGGATTTACATGTGGCTTGTAAATCTCACACATCATTATCCTTGTAGGTCCTAAGGAAAGGATCCAGAGACTCTCTTTCCCTTCTTCCTAAAGCAAAGCATAATAGTAACTGTTTTCCTTCACGGCTCAGGAGTTTAAAACTGCCTAGTACATGCAGTCTACACTGCAACACTCCCAGGAATGACTTGTAGTCTAAGGCTGGCCATAAGGTAGACTCACTGGGAATTCTCCTTAGGTTCTCCCACTGCCCTTTACCCATCAATACCCTATTAAGTGTCCCCGACTGCTACTCACTTACCTACTTTTAACAATAATCTACTAATTTACTTCTTGCCTGGCATAATTTTTTAAATGTCCTCCTAGCTTCCATCAGAAACACATGAACCACACTCAGAGGGAGCAGGTTTTAGTGAAGGTCATGTATGAATATTAATTCCCACAGGGTAACAGGGAATGCCTTTGATCCCAGCACTTGGGAGGCAGAATCTCTGTGAGTTTGAGGTCAGTCTGGTCTACAAAGCAAGTTCCAGGATAGTCAAGGCTACAGAGAGAAACCCTGTCTCAAACAAAACAAAACAAAACAAATGTTAGCTTTGTTTTTAGAGGTCTTATTCCTTATTTTCTGTTTAGGGGTATTTTGTCTGCATGTCTATACACCAAGTACACATTGTGCCTGCAGAAGCCAGAAGAAGGCATCAGATCCCCTGGAACTGGAGTTACAGACATTTGTTAGTCCCTGTGTGGGTGCTGGAAATCCAACCTTGGGGTCTCTGGTAGAGCAGTCAGTGCTCTTAAATGCTGACCCATCTCTCCACTCCCCAAGAATATTTCCCTTAATTTTGAGCCAAACATGTTAAGTACCCTTGATGCTTAATCTCTATAAACACGAGAATGCTTGTGTCTCACAAACCTCAATATACTTAGAAACTAGAAACTAGAAACTCTCATGCAAAACGGAGACATCATACAACTCATTCTAGCACTCATACCCATTATAAAGTTATGATACTGAAGAAAATCACTTTGATCTACCAACTTCTGCAGACAAGAGAGCGGGAAGAAATGTCAAAAGATGCCTCAGTTTAATTCCTTAGAGAACGCAGACACCCGGCATATGCGATTGTCACGCTTGAGGGCAGTATTAACTTTCCTAGCTTTGGAGAAGCCTGACATTTCCAGGTCTCAGCCTCCGCATCCATAGAACCCGAGCTGCGCATCGATCTTTGATGGTTCTTTCAGCGCTGCTCCCTAAAGAAACGGGATCTCCCTGGAGAACTACTCCCTAAAGACACTGGATTATTAACCTCACACCACTTCGATGCAGAAAAAAAAAAAAAAAAAGCAGGTATCTAACTCCTATCGTTTTTAACCTCAAAGATTAAAAAGGGAGCCCTAAAACGGGTGCAAAATTAGCGAATTAATTCCCACGTCCACTGTTTGGCTACGCTTTCTAGAGAGCGCAAAGGATGCTGGGACAGAGGGGACCAGCTAAGTAAAGCTAAGCAAGGCTAAGTAAGGTCCGACAGGGAACTAGAAACTTAAGCTTAGTCTGGGAGGATCCTAATATAGGAGGAATCCGCTACCCAAAGACGTAAGCTGACCAGGCTGGGTCACTCGGTGCAATCGGGCTCCAGACTTACTCGGTGGCCCGCACGAAGCCGCACGTGTTCGTCTGGCACACATAGAAGCTCTTTCCCTTATTCGGGCCATCGCGGACGCCGGTCTTTAAGAAGCAGCCGGTCCCTGAGGAGATAAGAAGGTCAGCAACGGCCACTCCAAGGCAGGGCCACAAGCCCGTGAGGGAAATCCTCAGACTCGGAAGACTCGGAGCCTTACCGTGCTCCGGACACTTCACCACTTCCATGACGCCAACTGCCCCGGACTCGCCGGGTTTCCGCCCTTGACTACTCCCTCAGAACGCTCCGCCCAGCGTTCGAGCCCCGAATCCGGAGAACCAATCAAATGAGAGATCCGCTCACCTTCCACCAATTACAGCCGCCCTCAGGCTTGGCGCACGCCGAAATCAAACTTGGAGTGAGGGGGCGTGGCCGAGGTCGATGGAGGACGCCAGATGGCTCCCGGGCCTGGAAAAAAAGCAAGATCTAGAGAGGCTGAAACGGGGCGACTCCCGAGTAACCCGTGAGACCTTGACGCAGCCGAGAGAGCCTGAGCCGCTCTCTTGCTCGGGAAGCAGCGGCTGTGGGCGGAGACACTTAAGTTTGAGGCGATTTAGAGACGGGAGAGTCCCTTAAAACTGCGGAAATGTATTGTCTGTAATAGAGCAGTGGGGCCCCTGACAACCTTTAAGTAAGTGTAGCATCGTCCCCTCGAAGTCCCCCAAGATCGAAGAGGCCTGAGGGCTCGACCTCAGAACAGCTGCCGGGATCTCAGTTCCAGGCTCTGCTCCCTTTGGACCTCAAGAGCTGCCTCTGATTGTTGGTGAGGTTCTTAGGGCTACCTGGTGTGCAAGCCCGGTGTCTGAGAGAAGAACCGGAGGAAAAACGACCCTCTCGCGCAGGCTAATTTTATTTTGTGTGTTTTGTATTGTCAACCCTTTTGAACTTACTTTGCATTTGTAGTTTAAAACTCGGGAGTGACGTTAAAAGAATATTGCATTTGAAATTGTAATCAAGAAACTAGGGACATGGCTCAGAAGCTGAGTGTTTGCTGGCCAGCCTGGTTTACAGAATGAGTTCCAGGACAGGCTCCAAAGCTACATGAGTTCCAGGACAGGCTCCAAAGCTACAGAAAAACCCTATCTTGAAAAACCGGGGTGACGGGTGGGGTGGGAGTTGGGAAGGATTGCCGATCATTCTTGCAGAGTTTGCTTCCTAGCTGCTCACAACCAGGCCTCCACGGATTCCGACACTTGTTCACACACACAGACACAAACACGGAATTAAAAAATAAAACAAATCTTTAGAAATTGTAGTAATTTTGTTGGTGAACAGAAGGACAGGAGTGACTATCGGCGTTTGGTTGCAATAGAGATGGCTTCATATTTATGTCTCAGCCCTGCAGAGTGCCACACACAATGAGGACAGAAAAGCTGCGGTGTCTAAGATATCTGGGCTATATGAAGAATGTAAAATTTTAGGAGTCCAGAGGAGGGGAGACAGACCCAGTTAGCTTTTTTGGTGCCCCAAGAGGAGTAGGTGTTTGAGAAATACAAAGTTCATTTAAACGCACATAGTTAAAACAACTGTTCTAACCACAGGGGCTTACTGAATGGAGAAGACTGAACCAGCCTATACCCAGTGCTTAAATAAATATAAAATAATATTTAAATGTCAAGATGAATGGAGTCAACAGCAAACTCTGGAGAGCTGGAGGAAGATGTGAATTTCCAAGTACATTCAGTCTGCCCACAGTTCTCCGGTGAAATTTTGCAAATAGGTGAGCGAGCGTTCTCTTTATTCCCAGATTGCAGTTCAAAGATCTGTCTGTGCATATGAAATAGATACTGCTTGAGGAGATGGGGGCCGCAAATGCTGGGCTTCTCTCCTGGTGAGTCTCTCCTGCATAATCTGATTTTGAAACAAGGCAAAGTGGAGGCCTCAGACATGGCATTCCAGAGAAATCTTTTCCTCTGCCGCTGCCCCTCCACAAAGGTCCAACTCAGCAGACATGGGCACAGAAAACTTCCAGAAAGGGACACTGTGTCTTCTGGAAATTTAGGATCTGCGAAATCAAAATGTTTAGACCCCCGGTCATATTAATAAGGGTGGGGGTGGGGCAGTGAGACAGCTAAGCGGATACAGGTTTGGTGTATATATATTTCACATATATTCTTAGCCTGAAAGCCTCTGGAGAGACCTTGGAGAATGAGCCTTATAAATATCTCTTCTGAATTGAGAGTGTAAGTTTTGGTTCTCCTGATAGCTTGTTGTACTCAGAATGAACGCTTAGAGTAGCCCCTAAATCTAGATGTTTTAAATGCACAGGTGAACAAGCCAATACATTATTTGAGTGTGGGGCTGACTCAAACTCACAAGCTTATGTTGAAATTATTCTGTAACTGGACTGTGCCAAAAACTACACTAAAACTTAAAAAAAAGCTATTTTTTAAATTTATTTTGAGATAAGAGTCTTAGAATTGTAACCGTCAAATAAGTGAATTCTATGAGATCTAAATTAGGCCTCAAGAAAAATGTTTTTAAACATGTGTAAGTGGTGCCAGAACCTTCCATGTGGAAAGCGAATGGTAGATATTTCACATCCTTAGGAAATAGCCTAGGGGTTGAAGAACTGGGTGGTGGAACCCCTTTCCTTTCAGATGGCATTGATCTGTTTCTCTAACCTGTGAAATAAAATCCAGGGCAGTACATGCATTTTCATTCCTGAGGAGAAGAAAACAGATCTGCCTAGCACTATGCTGCCTAACATATGTGAAACTTATTGGGCCCTCACTAGATTCTGGAGGTTAGAGGACCAGCCAAAACAGGAACCCCTTGACATCCCTGCCAGCATCGGTTTAAAAATATCCAGCAATTTAAAATTTCAAGTCATTTGTCAGATTCTCGTTGTTCTGTGAGTCTTGTTTGTTACATAGGTGTTCAAATGTGATTCTCCAGGCAGCTGTCAGTTCTAAGTTTCCTGTTTTGTGGGGTGGGAGTTGAGGAAGCAGTGCGGGGGGAGGGGGGGGGGCCGCCTTGAGCATGATAAGTACTGAGTCACTAACTACCACCCTGCCCAACACCCGATTTTATGAATCTCTCAGGCATTTGGATTGTTGTAGGCAACAAGCTGAGTACCTCTTTCTAACTGCCAGGGAACAGATCTTTGGTTGTCAAATCTCAGCTCTCTCTGAGGAATGTTTCCTAAGATAAGGAAGGGCTTTTACCGAATCACTACATTTAGTACTCACTACTACCTTAGCAACACGTGTTCTTTACTGCCCGATTTAAAGACCTATGGTAGCCAGGTCTGGTGGCTCGCCTCTAATCCCAGCATAAACAAAGAGGGCTGGTTGCCTTGCAATCCTGGACTAAACAGAGAGTACCAGCCTAGCCTAAATTATACAGCAAGACCTTGTCTCAAAATGAGTGATTAGGGTCTTGCTACAGCTCTGGAGGGAAAGGAATCCCTCCAGGTACCCGGGAGTCGGGCTATACCTGAAGTTGGGGTGGAGGGGGATAGTCTCCCTGCAAGATGTAGCAATCCCGCTTCTCTCCTGTGACAGCGGAGCTCTGCTCTCTTCCACTAAGGGGGTGTCCTGGCAGAAGCTGTTTCTGCTGACGCTCTGCTTCCGGCTGCTAACGGGAAATCCCTGCAGAAATGTAGCAATCTCAGGCTCTGTCAACAAGTTACTTCTTCTCTACCCCTAAGGGAGTTTTCCACCAGATATAACTTTTTTTTTCTGTTTTTTCTGTTCAGCCCCCCTAAGGGAACTTCTCAGCAAAGTTTTCTTCTGCTCCATGAAGCTGGCAAAAGGAGGTCTTCACCCAAAACTTGTTTAAGGAAGAGATTTATCACCTTTAATCCCAGCACTCAGGAGGCAGAGGCAGGCGGATCTCTGTGAGTTCGAGGCCAGCCTGGTCTAGAAGAGCTAGTTCCAGGACAGGAACCAAAAGCTACAGAGAAACCCTGTCTCGAAAATCCAAAAAAAAAAAAAAAAAANAAGGAAGAGATTTATTTGGAAAGGGGAACTCCAGGAGAGTGGTGCCCCTGCCAGCATGGGAAAGTACAGCCAGCAAATACGGCTTCTTAGGGGTGGAGTTTTCCCAAGGAAATTTTCTCCTCAGGGATTGGTCAATTTTCCTGCTCAGGGATTGGTTGGTTTAGTTGTTTAGGAGCAAGTTGGCTCTGGTTTCAGGGCCAAACTGTGTCTCTTTTCTTTTTACTTTTTGGCTCTATTTTCAGGGCTAAGACATATTTCTTTCACTGTCTCAGGTTCTAGGGCTAAAGTGTGTTTTTTTGGTTCTGGGTTCAGGACTACAGTGTTTCTTTTCACTAGCTCTGGCTTCAAGGCCAGCGTAGTTTTCTTTGGTTGTCCCTTTTATGGTACAGGTCTTGTCTCTGTTTGTCTGTCTATCTGTCTGTCTGTCTGTCTGTCTGTCTCCCTCACATGATTAGTGTGCTAAACTAAAGTTTAAACATTTTAAATTTTAAAGGCATTCAGTGACTAAGATATTTCACCCGCATTTCATCAAACATTTGGGTGTTTACTATGGCGTACAAATCTAAGAACAAAACAAAGGTCCTGCCATTTTATAAATCGTCACTAGGTGGCAGCATATTAACGTGAAAGCCATGCAAAAGGCCAACCCTCCTGTGTTTCTTTTTTCTTTTTCTCTTTCTTTCTTTCTTTTTTTTCTGCTTAAAAACATGTACTGCTCACTGAGTTTCATTTTGTTTGGTGCCTTCCCGATACATGAGCGTTTTTAACTTGTCCTCTGACAAAGGCACAGTCAAGAGGATACGGTGAGCAAAGATCTTCATCATTGGAACTGTCAATCAGTTTGACAAATGCTTTGGTTGTACCAAAATTTTGCAGTATTAGATTCCAAATTTCACTGTTGTTAAAATAGGATGCCAAGAGTTGCTCAAAGCCATTTTTCTTTTCCTTGTAGTGTTGTTTTTTTTTTTTTTTTATGTATAGAGTTGCATTGCCAACTGGTTTTGGAACATTTTTTTGTGTGTGTATAGTATAATGTGTATGTGCAGATACACATGTGCAAACGTGTGTGTGTGTGTGTGCACGTAGAGGCCAGAGATTGGCATCAGATATCATCTAGTTGTTCTCCACGTGGCTTATTGAGGTAGAGTCTCACTGAACCTGCATCTCACTGGCTGAACAACAAGCTCCAGGGATCCACCTGTCTTCTAAGGGTGCTGGGGATCCAAACTCGGGTCCTCATGCTTACAGGACAGGGATTTTACCAACTGTGTC